GGCAGAGTTTATAATGCCGCCTTAAGCGGTTGCAAAAAGTGGCCCATCAGATCAACAGACATAAAGTGGCTAGCCACGTTCGACCACCGCTGCCTTCGCAGCTTAGTTCATGTCTGATGGAAGCACCGCGTGAGCAGTGAGCGTAGTCGGCATCGCGTATTGGGTGCAGGAAAAGGTAATGAGCAGCTCAGCACCGCTATTTCAAGCACCAGGCTCCGATGACTGGGCCAAGTGTTGTGCATACCAGCACACCGACATCGCGAGGTGCATTGTTTGCGCACCGGGAGTGCGGGTGGAAGAAGAGGAGAGGTGGCCAAGTGATGACTTGGTCAAGATAAATAAAGGTCCTTACTTCGTAGCTGACCACGTTTGGAGTTTCTAGGCTCCCTGGTTGGGGACCGAAAGACAATGAACAGGCTTGGCTGGAAACACTTGTTGACATGTTTAGGGGCCGATCTCAATGGCGTTTGTTTTTTGGATTTCTTTGTCCCTTCCCTCCAACTACGATCTCAATTAGTAGACATAATATGACATTTTTCGGTACAATACTTGGCTGGTAGCTTTCCAGAACAATGTCCGTCCGTTACTAGTGATTTAGCGGGAGTGTCTCTGTTGCATGTCCCTTTCTTTCTCCACCTGCAGCTAACGTGTGATAATGAGAACAAAAGATGCAGTCAACACGCTCTGGCAACAGTTTACCGGCACTTTCCAAAAGGGATGGTCAACTCCCCTGTTCATGACACAGCTCCCACTGTCCCACTGTTAAACCACGAATCCTTCGCCGCTGTACATGTGATGAAAGACTACTATCCTGGTGCGTGCACAGCTCTGCTGGTGTTGACAAGATTAGACCGAAGGCGTTAAAACAGCCACCGTGAACTTCGCGGAACTGTTAGCTGGGTTCATTCAACAATGCCTTGATGAAATGCAGTTTCCCACAATGTGGGAACGGAATAGTTACTCCTATTTTCATGAGTGCGAATATTGCAGAGCCTTCTAACTACCGTCCAGTCACCATCCTCCCAGTGTTGTCCAAACTTGTGGAAGGTATAATCACAGAAGCGCTCAAGGGATACCTTGAGCGTAACCACATCTTAGTGTCACAGCAGCGTGAATTCCGACTATGTCGACCATTCACCAAAAGCATGTTGCTAGCCCTCGCAAGCTGGACGAAGTCAACCGATGCCAGTCAAAGAGTCGACGTTGCATACCTGAATTCTCTAAAACAGTTGATTACCTGCACCACCGAATTTTTCTTCAGAATCTTCGAAGTTATGGAATCAGTGAGCATGTACTAGGTTGGATAAGCAACTTCCGCATTCAGCTACAGCTGAATGTGAAAGGGCAGCGCCATGTCCGACCCAATTGTAGTTTATTGTAGTGTGACCAAAGGATCGGTACTGGGACCACGTTTGTTCATAATATTCATCAAACTATCTTGCTAGTGGGCTCCGGTCGGACTTCCCACTTTATGTAGACGTTGTCAACAGCTGGCACGATATCAAGACAGTGGACGAGCATGTGGCACTGCAAACAGATCTCGGCTGGGCCCTTACATGGTCCTCCGAAGGCGAACTCAGGTTTAACTTGGCGAATTGCAATGTTCTGAGCAAACGTCAACCATGTACTCATGAATACCGACCGGGGGAGCAGCAGTCGCAACTTGTTACCTAGGAAAGGGACCTCGAAGCAATTGTGCAAGACGACCATGGCTGCTCGAAACAAGCTGAAATACAGTTGAGCAGAGCCAGTGGGCATCTTGGACTCTTACGCAGAGCCTTCGTGAAGTTCGAGCCATCTGCCTGTTCGCAAATGCTGAACGCTTACATGAGGCCACATGTGGGATACGCAATGCAAGCCTAGGGTCCCTGGTGCAAACACGATATTGATGCGCTTGAGGCTCCACAACATAAAGCTCTGCTTTGTGCTTCTACATTAATCTGTTTGAAAACCGTTTGCGGCCGACACAACTAGGTGATGAATACGTTTGCCCGTGCATAATCACCCAGGATATGAGGCAGGGAAGTGGAACACGGGTATAACCTTACAAGGCTAACCCCAACTGTGGACTATCTGTGAGAAAGGCATGCGATGGGCTTTGAGTAGTGAATTCTATTCATGGTATTCTGGTAGCAAGCTAGTGAACATTGCTGGACTTATTGCTGGCATGCACCGGCTGCACGACGCTACTGTGTTGCACTCTTGAGGTTCCGATCGAAGCAGTTCCCTCGGATTGGTCGTATCGAATAATTATCACAGCATCCAATGAATACCGAACACCGAGTTAATAGTGTCATCAGCCTTATTTAGCCGAATAAATGTGACACTGACCCGCGTTGAATGGAACACCAGTGGGTGTTAATGCAATTGGCAACGACGGACCGTTGAAGTTGACTCCAAATTGTCATTGTCATCTTTTGATATGTAGTACAACCCGGATCTATTTTTATCAGGACTGGGCTGGGTTGCAAAATGCAAGCGCAACACTTACGTGTAGATATTCCAATGGGTTACATCATTATCGTTTGGTACAGGTTTTACATCTGACCTCTCCTTCTTATATTTAACGTAACGTTTCCATTCGTATTCCCATATTCACCTGGGATGTACACAGCAGGTTGCAGTTGGTAATTGTCGCCTTCTGTTCACCCTTCAATCAAACGTAACCGCAAATGCACCGAGTATAGATATGGTTGTTCATTCATTTACATAACATAAGCTCATTCGTCTAAAGCATGGACATACACGCTCTCAGTCACCACAGACTTTCATTGTTCCGTTCATTTTAACAGTACTTCTGCTCCCCACGCCTTCCTAATTTTACTTTCTTTCCCTTTCCGACAGCGAATTTCAAGATCAGATAGGTCACATGAATATAATGACTTATTCATGGAAAATTTTATGACCAATGACAGTTTTCTTACTCCCCGACTCCTTTCGGCATGACAGCAAACTCTAAATGTTACGCAAATGGCTTTGAAAAACTACCCTGTAACAGCGAGATGCCTTCTGCCAACTTTTCGGCTACGATACGTGGGAGCGTGGAGCGTATAATCCTGTGCACACACGAATCTGAATAGCACATTTCACTTTCCTAATACACGTACACCACAGTGAGTATTGTGATTCAATGTTAATCTGACATTTAATCCGGCGCAGGGGCTGTGTGAATACGGCGGATGCGTTACTTCCTTGTAAATACAGTGTTCCGCCTGTTTGACATACTATATTATTGTGAGCCCTTCAGTTCACTTTAGTCGGACTGCCGAGTATTGAAACAGCCCTCCTACTTGGAATGGAAATATCTGCGTGTTGCTATACCCAAAACTGGCACACCACGACCGCGGTTGCGTCCTGGTTTGGACTCCTCAGATAGAGATAACCTGATCTGGGGTGGAACTCAGAACTTACTAGTTCACGGCTGACGCCCTGAACACTTGGCACAGCGGATAGCAATTTAAAGCTGAATCCAGGGAACACGCTGTGTGCTTGGGTTGCGACTCACAACCTCCATTGAGACCTCGGTTCACTTTGAGATAAACCTCTTTCAGTTCGATCGCGAGGACCGTATCTGGAATGGAAATATTTGGGCGTTGCACTTCCCAACACTGGCACACCACGACCGCGGTTTCATCCTGGTTCGGACTCGTCATCTTAAGCACTGGATGTTTGATCGCCCGAATTACCGCATCCCACGACCGCTTTAGCACTCGCTTATCCCTCCAGGTTGAGATAGTAGCATGTATACTAGAATCAAGAAAGCTGGGAGCCAAGCCGAAGCCTTTGCCTCCACACTACCGGGTCACGGGTAACGTTTGTTACAACGATGAATGACAAGTTGGGAAGTCATTTGGGAGTATTTGTTGTGCACATAAGTTTCAACAATGTGGAGTGAGACAAGGGGAAAACATATCATTTGCCAGGTTCAGCTGCGGTCTCAGTGACCGAACGGATCAACGTTCAACTTTAAAAATGAACTGAAGTCCAGATTCGTATTTCGTGTCTCCATGGATTCATGCAAATTGCTTTCGAACAACGCTCAAATAGCCCACAATTTCGATTCTGTGTATACTGTACAGGCCATGCAAAGTACCTGTGCTTTAATTTGTGGAGTGATAACCCAGTAGCATTTCCCTCGACATTTAGTTCCTGTGTCAAGTAGACAAACGTGTGTCTCAATGCAAACACTAAGATGGGTTCACCAAAACGCTTTTCGTTTTATCATCATATTTCCTTTTCCAAATTCTTTCCATTCTACAGGATTTGCTAGGCACTAATTTGTTTACCAGTAATACATCATTGTTGCATTGTTCCGTCACCTCGGACCACAGCTCTTCTGTAACGTCAATTTTAGTCGCACCATCATCATATTTGCCTAGTTTGTCGGGCATGGCCTACCAATCAAGTCAGACTGGCCTGGGTGCTCAGATTCGAAGTTGTTCGGTGAGTGAAACTGCTTTCCATAACGAGCATAGTTAGGCCATTGTCGGCAAAAGTAATTGAATCCGCCTGATTGTGGTGCGCTAGGCTTGAGACAACAAGTACACGAGGGGCAGGCTAGTGCTATTACATTGAACGGTTACAATCGGCTTTATTTAGTGTATATAGTAACGTTGCGTATCTCAGTGTAGCCATGCTGGTGTGGCAGCATGAAAGATGGTGCCTGGAATAAAAGCATATTGCTCACTCCCTATTTATTAGGTATGATCGGCTCTACTTGGTGCAGGCAGTGATGTTTTACATATGTGTGAAGTGACTTCGACGAATCAATAGGAGAGGGCGATAAGAATGCCTATGGAAGAAAAGGCGGCACTGCTTCTTCAGGAGTCATCACAAGTGGTGCACAACTAGGGATGATGAAGGAACATATGCAAAGTTTCGTGATTCCTGCTGGATAAGGACACTGCGTCGTTGAGGGAGTGGCCTTTGCGATTCCAGCTGCCAGGCGACTTGTTGAAGTTTTCTTGGGTTCCTACTCAATTTGCTGGAGACGAAGATCGTTATTTCTCTTCGGCACCTTGGCTGTTTTCGGTCACTTGTGGTTGCTGCAAGGATTGAGCCTCGTTCAAACACAGCAAGTCCGTGAGAGCAATCAGTCCACCGAAAAGATAAGCACCGAAGTTCATACTGACGAAAACCTGGTTTACGTGGAATGTAGGGTGTAAACGCAATAGAGTCAGAGGAGCAATACCCATCAAAGTTTCAACACATCAACACCTAATTCCCCTATTTCAAATCATTGGCAAATACTGATGTATGTTAAGATGACGCGTTTATTGTGAAACGGGGCGAGATGAACTTGCACTTACCTGGGGGTGATTGGATTCTTTTTTAGTGAATACCTATCCCTACGTTATTATTAGTGGAGCACCTTTTTCCACCAATGACACAGTGTATCCGATGCTGGGTACGTTAAGTTCCTGATGCGGTGCGATTTTCTGCAAATATTCTCCATAAGGAACATCAGTGACAGAAACGGTGGTAAAGCGTGTCGTATGAGGTTCGGAATACGTACGGATAAGAGCAGGCATTACCGCGTCTCCACTTCCCTAATATATGTGTTCGCAATTTCACATGCAATTCAGTTGAGAGAACGACACTTGCCTTTTCACATCTGTTTTGAACCTGGTTACAAATTTCTTATTTGTAGGATGATCCATACCGATTCGCAAACGCACTTAATTGAGTATTTTTAATGTGAAGGGCGTTAGTTTCACCATGATTCACAGTTCACTTTCTAATCCACTAAACCTTCTTCTATGTATGTGTCGCAGTATAACTTACAGTCCTCTGGTGAAAAAACAATAGAAGAATTTGTGGTCGAACCGACTTTCTGACACGAGGTCGCAAGATGGCATTAATTGCATAGCCACAAGCTATACATCCTCGTCACTTTTGTAGTGTCCCACCTTGCTCATAGTAGACTTTAAACCTGCGCAATGCGTCTCCTTTACTCATTTGTGGGTCAGGTGGGCTGTGTAAGTTAGGTAAATGTTTGATCAATACTGTCAAACTCTTCATCCTTTCGGCTGATTTCAACTTATATACAATCTGTTACCAACGCGGTGTTGCATTTTCGTACCCCCGAAAATGTGCAGACCGGAGCTACGATTTTACTACGGTTGAATTCAACTCCGTTCCATTACATTTGGAGTGCCGACAGCTACATACACGCAGGCATACCGATGTGAGACGCTCATCAGTCACTGTATGCGACAGAGAGGTTTCAATTCGTATCGGCCAGACGACATGCAAGTATGCTTCGCCTCACATGGTTTTAGAAGAGTTTTACAGCTTTGGGAGCACAGTCCACAAGAGCTGAATCCTTCTCGCCGACGGGGGTACTATGTCTAAAGCGAAGGCATCACAACAGATTCCGTGCTTGCACTCTTATACTTTTAGTACCAAGGTTCAGACCGTTGACTGACGATGGAGATAAGCAATCCGCGAACAACTGAGTGTAGTTGCGGGCATCATTATGAATAACTAGGTCACTTTAGGAGATGACAGTCGTTGCGGTAATATGGCGTTGGTGCGATGAGAGCTAGTGCTCTCCAAAAGGAATACTACGGTATGAATGAGAGAGATGATCTGCCTCCTGTTCTATGGATTAACTAGTATTATTCCGATCAAGTCAGCCCACTACGACGGTCCGGCTGATAATACAATCTGGTCCACCCGGAGGCAAAAAATGAGAAAGATCAATTGAAAACTCGAGAAACTGTGACGATGAATCCCGAGAAGGTTTCTGGCATCCAATACATCCCACCTTTGTAATTATCGGTGAAACTTCGTTATCTCGTCTTCCCTCGGAATTGCTTGTTCACCATTTCTGCTTGTTGTCGTTCCAAGAATATGCCCTTGTAGCAAACCTGTAAAAACTCTATGATAAGTAGATTCCACAAACGTAGTTCACTTGACTTTCAGTCTTGCAATGATCTAGCTGCTGAAGCATACACAGTTTTCCTTCAGTTATCTCTTAGCGCGAAGCAAGGGATTAGTCGATCTTTCGCTCTCTCTGACGTCCTCCATTTCACCAAACTTTTTAGCCATAAATCTCATCAATTATCCTAAGTTAGCTCCTGTTTAGCGCGCATATCACCGGCCATCTCTATATGTCGGCACTAGAACAGACTTAAACAAACGCGTTGGGAATCTGCCGGTGGTACACCACTACCGTGATGATCTTTTGTGAGGGCTTTTGCCGCGCGGCTGTCCACATTCGGACAGAACGCATTAGTCAACCGACAATTATTTTACGGAGCCTATTGAGTTTCGTTGAAGATTGTCTTTGCTAATCGCTCTAGAGATCTTCTTAAGTGGGTTTTAACACGATCATTTGTCGACACCAAAATAGAATTACGTGAACCTGGAGACATTACCCACATTTTTTTCTGGCTATAGATTCTAAGACACTGTCCGTATATCATATGTTAAATATACGATCGAAGAAAGGCATGGCCTTGTGCCCGTATGATTTTAAAGCCGAGGACTTTGTGTTTTCTAGAAGGCAAGAGTTAGAAAATGACTCCATATCCTCGTGACATGAATGAGGTTACATTCTGCGAAAAATCGATCAGCCGATCAATCATACACAGTAACAGTAATTTGCATTCACTAGTCAAAAGCTGTTTCTTATTCAGAACTGACGCACCGTTAGTGGCCCGATGAAATCTCGTAGATATACAGCTGGTGCAGTTGTCGATCCAAGCCCAACGCAATAAGCAACAGTCGCGCATACCTGATAGATAGATTCCTGTTGGGTATGAGAATGGAAAGAGAAATTCGGATTTCCAGAACAGGGCAAGAATGTACAAGTGAAATGTTTCCGTACGAAAGGTGCCAAGTAAACTGAACAACATACAGCTTCAACCTACTCACTGTGTGAATTTTGATCAAGTAAAATAATCTGGAAAGAAAAATATGCACTTTATTTGAACTTCTGGCTGCTAAGGCACATACCTTTGCTCAGTCCTCACTCAGAGATCACCACCTGCATGCAATGGTTTGTGAGCACATCGGATGCCGTTTGCCTGGCTTGCCGTTGCTAGTGTGGAATAATTACTCACAGCTGCTAGGTTTTAAATTTTTTCTCTAACCTACGTGAACACGAGTGATCGCTCGTTTGAAACAGCAGGCTGTTGGTAGG